CACACACACACACACACACACACACACACACACACACACACACACACACACTTTCTGATGCTAGATTTGCTTGGTCATAAAACATGACTCCATCTGCGCAGCGTGACGCAGGCAGCAGCAGAGATGCTGAGTCTGGGAGGATCATCTAATTATCTGTCAGAGAGGAGTGTGGAGGAGACGTCGTCTCACCGAGGACACCAACTGAAATTTGGCTGGACTCTTTTTAAACAGGCGTCCTGGGGGTCCGCTTTGGATTAGTCATGTTTCTGATAAATATGGCATTTTATTTATTTCAGCCTGTTCTGTCACACATTTTGACTTGTTTTATTATGTTTCAGAATTTTTAGTTTTTTACTTTTTCTTATCTTTATAAAAAAAAGTTTCAACTGTGACATCATCTGAGATTCACTGAACGTAATTATGAAATTCAGAAAAATGTAAAATAAAAATGACGATAATGCAAATTATACAAATATAATGCATAGACAAAGAATTTGCATTTTCTGTAAAAATACAGTTTAAATGCTTAATGCTGAAAGATTTTTGCTGAATATACAAAAAGTTGAAACTAGCCTAAAAATAACTATAAAACCGTAGCTGAAACAGCTGAAATTAGCAAAACAGAAAGAGCATGTTTGCTGAATTAAGCATCACAATGCTGAAATAATCACAAAAGGGTAAATTTAGCTGAAAAAAGTTCAAAATATTAAAAAAGCAGCTAAAGATACAACAAATAGCTGAGATTAGAAAAAAACAGCTGAAAGTATCAAAAGCTTGAAATAGCATAAAGAAACACAAAAAACTTAAATTAGCAAAGGAACAACAAGAATGATCAGAATAATAGACAAAATAAGAAGCTAAAAACAGCCAAACAGAAGCAGAAGGAAGCTGAAATTATCATAAAGAAGTAGAAAAAAGCAGAACCAGAACAAAAGGTAAAAACTAGATTTATAAACATTTTAAAGGGACAGCTAAAAACGTTACATATCTCAGTAAGTATAAAATGCTGAAGTACCAAAAGTCATAGCAGGAATGTCCTGAAGGAGCTGAACGTTTTGATACATTAATTGTACAAATAGCACAAAAGTTGTGGAGAAGATACACGGCAAAAAAATGTACAGTAAAAAAACATCTCATTGTTGTGAATGCATTGTAAGTATTCACACAAATATAAAAAGAATGCACACCATGGGTGTATTTAGACAAATAATAATAAATTCATATGTAAAGGAAAAGCTCCAAAAACAAGTAAAATCTGTTTGTTTTATGGTCACAGTAGGTCTCAATAGAACAAATATTTCAACAGTACTGCAATGAAAAAGTAAAACATAATAATGATAATAACTGGAACACTTCCTGAGGTCTTGCAACCAACCTCTCATTTAAAAAGGAATGTGGCTGCTTCATAAGTAAAAAGTAGCAAAATTAGCCCACCAAACATGTTGTCTCCTAAYGATTCACATAAAGTTTTCATGTTGCTGCTGTAATTCCAGATACTGATTTTTCCAATTCAGCTTTATTTGCTTCATGTCTAACAAACACCRTTGTTGTGTGTGTATGTTGAAACACACAGGCTCTGGCTCCAAAAATAACCATTTCTGTGTTTCCTGTTCAACTTTTTTTCTTACTACAAAGTRCTCAGGATGTATTCAGCACTTTTGGATTGAACATAAAAACAGTCCACGTCAACACGACATCACGGCTAAAATCTGACTATTGACACAAAAACTCATTTCAAATTAATTAAGAAAACACACAAGATGAACAAGCAGCTAAAAAAAGGAATTCAAGTAGTTCAGCCTTTTAGTTTAATCCACACACTGATGTAGCAGTACAAAGTGAGAGCCTGAAGCAGCAATCTGGATAAAACAAGATCAGCATGCCAGACGCTTGTATCAAAGAGATGCAGGGCTGCARGATCTCAGCACACTGAAACAGGAAAAAGGTCAGACTCAGAGGWGCGGGCGAGCTTCGCTGCCAAGCCATCGGGAAAACTCCCCAAATAAGCCGGAGTGT